TCTTAGTATTAGTTCTGTAAGAACTACTAGTGTGAAATGTTTCTCTCTCTACATATAAATATATATATATATATATATATATATATATATATATAGAGAGAGAGAGAGAGAGAGTGAGAGAGAGAGAGATATGACATTCTTCCATCTGCGAGAGATTATAGAGCATTATAACACTTCATCAAATGGCTTACGAGGCCGATCTTAGAATGACAGGCCCGGCTGCATTTCCCGCAGGAGAACTTTGACTCCTGGTTAGATGGAGCCTTCAGAATAGCTATTTTTTTTGCAGGGGGCTTTGTTTCACACATGTTCTGCCTTTTTTATTGTCATATACAGCGCAAATCACCGGCTGGAACGGTGCTCAGTGAAGATCTGCCACTCGTTGATTTTTATGTTTTCTTCCCTTAAAAATTATAACGTCCTTATAACCTATAATAATATTTCTAAAATAGTATAAATCTAACATAAGTGTACTTTATATTTTTTGGTATAGTTTGTTGTTTGTTTGTCAAAATTGACTAGGACCATCTAGTAATCCGGTTAGGGGGGAGGGTGGGTTACGTTGAGCTCGTTGTTGGCTTGCTAGACTGATCCGTGTTCGGAATAATCTATGGCAGCGCGAGGAGGGGATAGTTGCTGCAGTTGCTGATCTCATGCTGCTCTTTCGGGCAGCCTGCGTGTCTCAGCTGTGGTTATCCTACTTGCTTCATGAGATTTAGCCTCCTTCTTGACAGCTGCTCTCCACCTGGCTTTGTATTGGGCTGTCTGCACCCAATGAATAGGGTTGAGGCTGAATATCTTTAGTTTCGCTTTCAGTGAGTCTTTGTAACGCTTTTTGTGACCTCCTTGGTAGCTATGGCCTATTCCGAGTTCTCCGAAGAATATCTTTTATGGGAGCCGGTGGTCTTCCATACGGGCTGCGTGTCCCATCCAAGGGAGTTGAGACTGCATTAGGGTGGGGAAGGTATGAAGATACTAGAAACGTTCCCTCTCGTGACGACTTCTGTGTCAGGAACTTAGTCTTGCCACCTGATGCCGAGGAGTTTCCTGGGGGAAGGTTGTGTGAAATGTGCTCAGTTTCTGCTGCGCTATAGACCTTGATTTTTGTTTCTCGTCTTATAACTCTCCTGCCCCAAACAGTGCAGCGAAGCCTGCCAAATATGACACTAGTTTTTACGAGTCTGGCTTTCATTTAATCATCAGTGATGACAGATCTGGAGAGGGTGCTACCCACATAAGTACATTTAAGTAAGTTGAGACGCTGTCTGCTGATAATGATATTGGGTTCGACATAGGGCTTACTGGGAGCTGGCTGATAAATCACCTCAATCTTCTTTGTGTTGATTGTAAGGCCAAAATTATTGCAGGCCTCATAGAAGATATCAACATTGTGTTGCATGATGGCTTCTGATGCAAATAGAAACTAGTTGTTGGTTATTTGTTTAACCTAGGTTTTAGCTTGAAACCTACTAAGGTTGAAGACTGATCCATCAGTGCGAAAATGGATTAACAAGCCCATGGTGATAATGTATCAGACAGCATTGCAGAATACATAATACTGAAGAGTGTGGGCGCAAGGACACAGCCCTGCTTCAAACTGTTTGTGTCGGGGAATGCTTTAGATGACATACCGTTGTCCTGCACTTGGGCAATCATGCAGCTGACGGATGATGTTGGTGAACTTGTCTGGGCATCAGTACTTCTTCATGATTTTCCACATGCCACCTCTATTGACCCTGTCAAAAGCCTTATTAAAGTCGATACATATGTAATATGGGATTATATTTTGATTCTGACATTTCTCTTGAAGCTGCCTGGCAGCAAAAGCCATATCGCTAGTTCCGCGTTTTTTGTGGAAACCGCATTGACTTTCGGGTTGGAGATCTTGCTCCAGATGTGCATTCAGGCGGTTCAGAATGTATACCATTGGTATGTAACACTTACGATGTTAAACATAGAATGTCGACGTAACATTGTTTCATATTTCAGCTGGTCGTGTTTTAATATTGAGTAAGTATTAAGTGTGGTTAATAGTTTCATT